CCACACGCTGTGTGGGAACTGGCTGGCCTACTGGCAGTATGAGATTGGGGTGAGCCAACATGACCCCCGCTTCCACTTCCACCAGATCAAGCTACAGAGTTTCTCAGGGCATTCAGGGGCCATCAAGTGTGTGGCACCACTCAGCAGTGAGGACTTCTTTCTTAGTGGCAGCAAGGACAAAACTGTCCGCCTCTGGCCCTTATACAATTACGGGGATGGTACCAGTGAAGTGCCACCACGGTTCACGTACACCGAGCACAAGAAGTCTGTTTTCTATGTGAGCCAGCTGGAGGCATCGCAGCACGTGGTGAGCTGTGATGGGACTGTGCACATCTGGGACCAGTTCACAGGTAATAAGGGAAAGGGTGATGGCTGACTAGAGTACTAGCCCAGTCCTCTTTAGAGGCAGAAGGTCCATAGCGAGTCCTGGTGGCTCCTGCTAAAAAGCAAAATAGAGACTAGAGATTTGCTCTGTGCCTTCTCTGTACATCTACTGCTGTAACTTCTCTGCTATCTTTCCCAGGCAAACTTCTCCGGACTTTTGATGAGTTAGAGAGCAAAGTCCCCATCACAGCTGTGACCACCATGCCACCTCCCTATCACAGCATCTCTGTGGCCAGTGCAGACTCTGTGCTGCGTTTCATTGATCACAGGAAGCCGGGACTACAGGTAAGGAGTCTGTCACTCTGTGAACCACCCTCCTTCAGGCTGCCCCACGGCATCTGTGTGCTTAGTGACATAATCACTGCTGGTCCAAAGGCAGGGGCAATGGCTCCATGCCAGCTGGGCCCCAAGGTCTCTTGTCCCCTCAGTGCTGGACCCCTTAGTTCTTTTGTCCCCTGGTAGCTGGACTCTCTCTCTTGCAGCACGAGTTTCGCCTAGCCAGTGGTGTGAGCGCTGGGCTCATCCGCTGCTTGGCTGTCAGTCCTAATGGGCGCAGCGTTATGGCTGGCTTCTCCTCTGGGTTCATTGTGCTGCTGGACACCAGGACAGGACTCATCATGCGGGGGTGGCCTGCTCATGAGGGAGACCTCCTGCAGATCAAGGTAAGAGGTTCAGATGGGATCAGGGTTGCCCCACGGAAGATACAGCAGTTAAAGATTGAGTGCAAGGCATCAGGGTTGGGGGCTGCTACATGAGACTCACCAGGCCACTGAGGTGTGGTGCAATCTTCTGAAACCTGCTGCCTGGCTTATCTGCTCCATCCTCTGGGCTTTTCTCCACCCCTTGCTGTGTCCCTAAGAGGCTGCTCATGCCCTCCTGCCCCTTGTTTACTGCTGTGCATGGGTGTTCTTGAGCAGCCCCCTCGGGTGTCAGGTCCTGCCGAGCAGGTCTGTGTGCTCTGCAGCAGGGGCAAGGGAGTAGCCCTGCGTCCTGTGAAGAGGCAAACGTGTTGCTTTCTCCTCAGGGCTGCCAGCCACCCTTGGAGAGCCTTGCTCTAATGAATAACTCTTGTCCATATTTACCCACCCAGAGGGAGCAGCGTTGGGGCTCCAGTGTCCTTGACCCAATGTGGGTTAAACAAAGTTCACTGCTGTGGGTTGTTTACCCTCTCACTAGCTCTGCTAATCGGCAGCTCCAGCCTTCTGCTGCCCTCAGCAGAGTGTTTCCTACTGTGAAAGGGGCCCCCAATTCCATGTCCGTGAGAAGGAAGATAATTTGGCAGGTGGTTTAATGAAGAGGGAGGCCATGTGACAATCTCTACCCACTGCAGTAGTAGAATGAATTAGTGATGTTGAGAATCAGGATGCTGTCGAGAAGAAACACAGCCCTTCTCTTGGATACTTGGACAGTGGTAGAGGAGGATGTGAGCTACAAGAGAGCCCCATAGCTTGCAGTGCTCACCCGGATACCTTGTTAATCCTGCCCAGTACCACTAGCTGCTTGGAAGCGTCTGGCACTGTCCACAGCGATTGCACTGGGACTACTGGACTCTGGGCAACTACTTGCTAATCTCATTTGAAGGAAGGGAGGGAGTTTGAATTGAAGGGAGGGAGTTTTTACTGCAGTCGTGTTGGTTCACTGGCCCTTCCTCTCCTGCAGGCTGCAGAGGGCAATGTGCTAATCAGCTCCTCTTCGGATCATTCCCTGACTGTCTGGAAAGAACTGGAGCAGAAGCCTTTGCACCACTACAAATCTGCCTCTGAACCCATCCACACGTTTGACCTCTACGGCAACGAAGTGGTGACTGGCACCGTGGCCAACAAGATTGGTGTCTACTCCATGCTGGAGTCATCAGCGCTGCCGATAAGCACAACCAAGCTGAGCTCGGAGAACTTCCGGGGTACTCTGACCAGCCTGGCTGTGCTGCCCACGAAATGCCATCTCCTGCTGGGCTCTGACAACGGCGTGATACGCCTCCTGGCATAGCGACCCCCGGCCCAGAAGCTTGCGGCTGTTCCACAGCTCTGGTGGTAGAGCTGAAAGCTGGCAGCTTTGCTTACAGAGGAGGCAGAGTTAGATGTTTCTGAACGCAGGATGCAGGAGGGAGGTGTACTTGTTAGTGAGCACTCAGTAAAGCATCTCTAACCTCTTTCTGTATCTTAAAAAAAAAAAAGCCATAATTAAGGAATCTCCACTGCTGCTGGGAGAAATGCTGGGTGTTGTAGGTCACTGTGACCCCTGCAGAGAGGTCTGGAGCTTTCCATACCATGTGTGCCTGACTCCTCAGGGGACTGTGAGCTGCTCTCCTCAGAGAGCAGAGAAATATGGACCATGGCTATCTTTCCCCCTCCATCAGTAAGGGGTAAGAGGTAGCTCTTGACAAGAATACAGCAGTATAGCATCTGCACTTCCCGTTCACTCTTCACTCCTGAACCACTGAACAGTCTTATTAGAATAGCATAACCTGGGCCTGGGAGCCACCTTTGGAGCTGCATGGTGCTGGGCATATCCTCCTTGTGTGGTCTGTGGGTTCAAGGCCCAGCAAGATGTACTGTATTAACTTTAGGTTCTGCAGTCCCAGTTAGATCCCATATGGGAGGAGGAGAAGTTAACTAGAGCACTTTTGTCACCTTACTGGTTCCAGGGCAAAGACAGGAATGAAAGCCAGCCAAGGCACAAACCCCATCTGCTCCACTGGTTCATTTAGGGATGAACTGCTGCAAAGGAATAGTTTGGGATAGGTACATGACTCTCTTAAGGCTGAGAGAACTTTCCAGGAGGATTTTGGCTCCTGGAGTAGTGAGATAGGGATGAACTGTTCTTGTTGGTTCCTGCCCCAGAAGCACCACATCCCGTGCTTATCAAGGGAGTGAGGAGTGCTCTTTGTGCAGTGGAACAAGGCTGGACTGGCAGCATCTCTCAGTAAATCCTCTTTCTAATCCTCCCCACTCCCCTTTGTGCTGATCAGACTTGTGGCAAAGTAGGAGGACAGGACAGCAAAAAGGTGCTCAATTTTGCTCTCATCTGCCTGTAGAGTGAAAACCGAGGCGCACAATCCAGCATGGTCTCCCTCTCTTGACCTTCCCTATTGGGATGCTCCTGTCTGTTCCCCACTCCTGTTTTGCCCAAAGGCTAGGAGAGTCCTCTTCAGTCCAGCAATAGGAGCAGTTGCCTCACTTCTGTTGCAGCCCTCTTCCCATCCATCCTTCAGCCTAGTGTCAGGGCACTGGGAAGCTTGTATCTCTGGCAGAGGAGGAGCCTGCTGTGGGTTGTCCTGGGAGGGAAAGGGCTTTCATGGAGCTGTTAGTTCATCTGAACCACCTGCAGAGGGGAAGGCTGCCCTCTGCTTCCAGGGAGGGTGGGGAGGTGAACAGTTGGCCCTTGCTATCCTTCCCTTCCAAGGGAGCTCTCAGTCCCGTGTTGCCTATTAACCATTTGCAATAGATGTAAATATTTACTTCTAATAAACTCTTTGAAAGAGATGCAGAGAAGTGTTTGGGGGGAAGCTCTGTGCTGGGCTGGATGTACTGGACGGGCCCCAGTGCAGTGCAGTGCAGTGCAACCCAGCAGGTTGGGGTGCATTCAGCCACCTCTTGTGTTCCCAGGAGAGCTGGAGCAGGGATGCTGTGAAGATGCTCTGGATGTAAGAAGGTAGGTCGCTCCTGCATGACTTGGATCTGCTTTATTTTCCACTCACAGTAGCTTCCCCATGTTGCAGTGGCATGTCTCTAGGTAGTTCATGGCTGCAGAGCTCAGCTCTGTCAATCCTTCCCGGCGCTCGCGGTGAGTTTGGGAACTAAGAGCTATTGCAAGGAAGCCTGGATGATTGCAAGTGCTTGCAATCCCATTAGCATTCTCCACTGCTCCTTAGTGCCTCCAGTTGTACTGAGGATGCGGGCAAAGCCGTATCCCATGCTGGGAATGATCACTATTGCCTCTGCATGAGGCACAAAACTGCATGGAGCCTGGACAGAGCTTCTGGAGAGCTATGCCTCCCTGAGACTTTTCTTTTATACTGGAATGGTGTGTGTGTGTGTGTGTGTGTGTGTGTGTTGTGGGGCCGGCAACAGGGCCACCCCCCTAGCAAAGCTCTGGTGCTGGCGGTGCCCTGGGGGAGGTACCAGCTGCTCTTGGCTCAGCCCAGCCTGAATATTGCGGCTTCCTGCCTGCGTACACAGCAACGGGGCCTTGGGCATCTGCCACCTGTTAAAAAACAGTGCCTTGCGTTTGCTGCAGTAGAAGCAGCTGGGAGATAAACAGTAAGTATCTGGAGTTTTCTGCGAAGAAAATGCCAAAAGCGGCCCAGTGGCAAGAAATGCCAACTCATATGTTTTCATTGGAGGCTATGAATAAAAGGGGGCATTCCTAGCACAGGGAGCGTAAGGAAAGCAGAGCCACTACTAGGGACAACAGACTTAGACACAGGTTATTTCTGCTCTTGGGAGGTTCTGAGCTTGTTACCCTTGTCCTGGGGGGTGCAGCAGCCTAAACTGTCTCCCCAGCTCCAAATACACCACAAATTCACTCTTACCCCCCAACAAATGTTTAACCGGATGCTCTGGGTCAATATTTGCTTGACAAATTCTCAAATAAGGGGTGGTGCTGAAGGTCGTCACTGGCGGGTTGGAGGGGTGGGCTGGACAAGAGACTGCTTGCCCCATGCAGAGCTATCAGCCAGGCTAAAGCAAGTACCAGCTCCAACACAGACACTAACAAGCTTAGGTAAGGGGCAAATGAACCAGGATTTAGCAGTAAAGGGGGGCTCTTCCAATGAGCAAGGAGTGAGTCTCTGGAGGGGGGTGAATCTGGCAGAGTTAAAGGCTGGGGAAGATCAGGGAGGAAAGGGGCATTCAGGGTTCTATGTAGCTACAGGATTTAGGGTGAGGGAGGAGGGGGAACGAAGCGGCTTCAAGTTTTGCTGCTGTCAGCGGGAACACAAGGGGCTGCAGCCCAGCTGCTCTAGGTCCACGCAGAGACTGCTCAGAGTGCGGATTTGGCATGGAGGTTCACATTAAGAAGAAGAAAGGTTATTTCTGCTTGAACAGGAAAAGTAGTGGGGTGAAGCAATGGCTAGAGAATGGGTGGGGTTTTATCTGGAAACGCTGCTCCCACCTTCCACTACCGCAACCAGAGCGCGGGGGTGGGAGACGCTGGGTTTCCCAGCAAAGGGGGAAGGGGAGTGCTGGGAAAGGGAGGGCTCTATATTCCTGGACTAATTGCCGAGGAACTCTGCTCTGGTATCACATTTCCCACCTGCAAAGTCCCTTCGGGACCTCACTTGCTGGTGCCTGCAGCCCCTCAGAGGCAGGTTCGTATCTCTTCTCCCACAGGGCAGGGGTGCAGCTGAGACTGGGTGCTGCTTTTCCCCACTCTAGCAGGACTCTGCCCATACCTCGGGGGTTTGCATGGGAAAGGAGTGGAGGCTCTTGCCTTCTCCCAGAGATAGAAGGTGTTTAGGATTGATTAGGGAAATGCTGTTTGCAATCCAGATTAATAAGGATGATGGGGTCGGTGACGCAGATTCCAGGCAGAGTAAATCCAGGAGAGCTTCATGTAGGAGCCAGGCTGTGGACACAGCTCTGCCTCGGCGCTGGCCCCTGCTCCTCTCTGATTTCGCTGCCTTGGCATTGGACCCAGGCTTCTTGTGTTGTTTCTTTGCATCATTGTTCATCTCCCTCCTGCTTTCTGCAAGCTCCTGTGCCAACCTGTTTGGCCAGGCTGATCGTTTTCTCTCTAGCCCTGAATAGGCTCAGCTTGCTGCTGCCAGGCAGCTGGCAGTCACTTCTCTCTCAGTTGGTCTTTTTGTTCCAGAAACATGGTGTTGCTCTGGGGTCTGTTGCTGCTCTGCCTGCCTGCTCTGCACAGCCATCTACGGGTAAGTTGCGTCCCTCTGCGGCTATCTTGGGGGCATCTCCGGTGCGAGCACAGCCTTTGCCCTGGCCAGCAAAGGGCAACGGGAGCAAGGTGGCTCTGCTGTGCCAGGCCACGCTCAGCCTCTGTGAGCGACTTCTGCGGGAGAAGCCCTGGCAGGCAGCATGGGGGCTGATGTCGCTTCTCTGCTACGGGATTCGCCTGTGCCCCAGTACAGCAAGGTTTCTAGCCTTCCACTTCCCATCTAAAAAGAGCTGTGAACTTCCCATTCAAGTGGATTTCTGTAGTAAACCTCTGGAAACTTGGCTTCAATTGTTGACCTTCGGGGGTTAATAGGCCATTGTTTAATAACATCCTTTTTTCCATTTTAAATCTGGATCCCATTCAGCTCTGACATTGCAAAACTGCACTGCTTACTCTCTAGAGGATTCATTATTTTGTACCCTTCTGACCCGGACCCTTTTAAAACAAATACAGCATATGCAGTCTCTCCAGGTTCCTGTTCATTTCTGCCTCCCCTTGGTGGACCCCACCGCCTCTGTTACTGTGTCCTAAAGCCCTGTCCATGCTATAGCTCTGCGAGTACCTTGACACTACTACAGCTGGGGCGGTGCCAATCTGTGACCTAGCCCCACAGAAACGTGTTAGGAGTGGGGGAAAGAAGACTGACCTACGGAAATTCAGAGGAAACTATCTGGGACTTGACTTTTTCTTTTTCCTTCCAGTTTCCTTTGACACATGCCCTTGAGCAGAAGTATCTCTCCTTAGACAAAGCTGTGGAGTTGGAGGTAAGCGATGACTGGTTCCCCTCCAAGGGGACTGAAGTTATGCTGTGGGATTGGCAATGGTTTTCCAGTTCATCCTGAGCTAGGATGAGCCCAGGCAGTGCAATCTAGCTGTGCCAGTGGAACGACAAAGTCCATCTTTTGTGCTGCCATTGGTCCCTGCCTCATCCTCTGCTGCTGCCGATGCTGTGCTCCTTGCTCTGTTTTGGAAGCTCCAGCCAGCAGTAACTGGGCAGCATATGGAGCAAACATCAGTAGCGGGTGCGTACAGGGCCTGGCAGGTGAATTATTTCATTTCGGATGGATAAAGGAAGATGAGGAAAACAACAAGTTATGAGAGAAAGAGGAAGAAAGTATTGGGTCTGAGGCTACCCACAGAGCTTGGCTCTGACCATGCAGCAGCACTCAGAGGAATGGCATCCAGATGCAGGTGGGAACAGAGAAGTCTGAGGAAAGAAACGGTGTGTTTCAGATCATGCACGTGTGAGGGCAATTGTAGTAGTGTTATAGGCTACAGCTTAGAAAACTGGGATATGAGGAATATGGAGAGAAAAGGAACAGAATAAAACAGATATGGAAAGAGCAGACAGCTGCCTGAAGGAGGATTTGAGTAGAGACAGATCAAGACTGTGACAGCACTAGAGAGACCAATGCTTGACACAGACCTACAGTCCTAAAATATGTGAGAGGAGGAGGTGAAATCAAGGCTGAGGGTCACGGATCCATAAACGGCGAAGGGATGGGACACGTGCTAAGAAGGGATTTTGGGCCCAGGAGGTGGTTCTTGCCCCCAGAGCACACTGGTTGGGTTCACTTGCCTAGGGCAGGCCCTGAGGGCACGTGGAGGAAGAACCACTGCAAGATCCTGACTCAGGCCATTTTCTTGGGACAAAAGACCTTCTGTTTTCCAAACTTGCCTAGATGCTTTTAAGCTCTGGGTTAAAAGGCAAACTGAGGCAAATACACCACCAGAGTGGAGCAGCTAAGGAGTTTCATTGAGTCAGTTTGGAGTATGATAATTTCTATTACGTGACAGAACGGAAAGAGATATCAGCTGAGAAAACCCAATTACAGTTACTGGTTCAGCATAACATGCCCTGGCACATGATGCAAGCCTGGATGCCCTCTCTGCACTAACACTTCGCAGACGTATTCAGGCACATCCACACGTGTACAAGGTTTGAAGACAGACTGGATGCTACAGGCTGCTTAACAGCCTCCTCTGAAGCACAAATCTTATCTAGGAGCCATTGCTATCAAAGAACAGGGCATGAATGCTTCCCTCTGCAACTCACAGAGCAGCCAAAGCTTGTGCCCAGGAGGGAGGGCTGTTTCCGGTTGCTGACTCAGCAATCCTCCCAGCAATCACCAGCATTTCATGACAGAGCCAGGGAGTTGTGCTGCTGCCTTTGCAGCAGCATCAATGAGGCCTGGTCGCCCTCTTCCTGTGCAAGCTGCCTGCGACTTCAGTAAAAGCATTAGAGAAGGCAGTGCCATACTTCTGCTTTCTCTGTGCTATCCTTCTTGTTTCTTCCCAGGACCTGGAAGAGGCTGATGCTATGCAACTGGACATACACATTGCAGATGTCCCCTGTGCTCTGCCAGGAGCTGCTCCAACCGTGCCGAATGCCGA